CGCATCACTGGACACGCATTCCACGCCAGCGCCGTGCTATTGACATTTCAAATCTTGCTGTCTTCCTACGAATCTCTCCTGACCGCCCCAGACACTTCCCAAGGGACTTGCGGAAAGTGAAGGGGTCACGAGGGAGCCACAGCGCGAATAATAACAAAAAAAAGTCAGCCGTCGAGATGAGTAAATATCGAGCATAATCAGCAGCAAGAGTCAGTCATCAACGGCCACCCCGCCTCTCGAGATGCCCATGTCCAGCCCGCGGTGTTCCATGTTGACAGCCAGCCCGCTCAAGGGTCATGGGGGAAAAGCGCTGGAATGTTTGTTTGTTCCCGTCAACAGGGGACCTGCCAGCCCGAACCCAGGCGGGGAGGGAATAAGGACAGGGAACCTGGAAGTACCGGCAAGCGGGTGGACGGGAAAGTGAAAGTGGAAGGCGCGATGGGGGATGCGGGTTCCGCACAGGGATGGCCCCCTGCCCCTGGCCGCTACGGTGCTGCCGCTTCGCCCGTCCGGTCCTCCACCTCTGGCTGCCAAGCTGGAAATTAGCGCCTGGCGATCTCCCCCTTTTGCATGTCGTCACTGCCTGGAGTGCACGGATGGCCGCTGCTCAAGGTGCTATCCATGCAAGATGCACGGCCCGTCGTCCATCACAATTCATCATCGTCGCTCTTTTTTTTCTCCCTCACTCTCTCCGCCGCTTCGGAATGGAAGCATCCCGAACGACGACCCTCAATTAATATCGGCCGGGCTGCGAGGCGCCGTTGGGACGTGTTTCCCGTCAAACAAACTTGTTCGTTGTCCCCGGGCAAACAAACGCCTCCGGAGCCTCATCCACAAAGCCACATCGTATCACACGCAGAGCACCATCACAACAGACCAGACAGACACCACCCACCTCACAGCGGCAGGCGGTCCCACGCTCCCCACCTCCTTGCGCTGCGCCAAGTGCCGGCGCCGTGAACTGTCTCTCGGCGAGGGGGGCATCTATCGTGGTGAACATGTACGACCCTGTGGGATTTGTATTCTGTGTTTTCTGGGTACTTCCAGCCCCGGAGTTGGAGGAATGTTCCAATTGATGTATGACTTGTAGAGACATGTGCCTCCCGTGCATGTATGCATGTCTCGATCTGATCAAGACTCCAGGGAAAGAAACCTTGGAAGCCAGCCCCAGGAACCTCACTCTCCCGAAGCGCACTACCGACGGAGCTATTGAATCGTTCACGATCCCTCCCATCGTTACAATCTCCCCCTTGCCTTTGGACAATGAGTAAGTGAGTCCAGCAAACACGGGCCCATGTGAGGGAGAATCGCCCATCTGACTCCCTCCCCTCGTACTCCCAGCCATCTCTTACCATCCAAGCCATTCTGCTACGCGCGGCCGATACGAGGCCCTCGCGGCCGGCCTCCCCTCCGTCCAATCGTCGACGTCGCGCCCCCTAGTCTGCAGCGCGGTGGGACGTCCACAACAAGACAAGCTCCAGTGCTCGCCGTCAGCGCGCTTCGGAATGGCTTCATCAAAGTTAAAAAAGGCGTCTCCTGCCGGCACCTCCGGCAATGTCGCCCTCTCCTCGGGCTCAGGCTGGGTCGTTCTCAAGCTGACAGGCTGGGCTGGCTCTCCCCAGGCCATTGCCGCCGCCTGACTGGAATGCTGCGAGATGCATCCGCGCCAGTCAGCCTCCTCGCCTGGTCCATTGTCCGCCGTCAATCTTATTTCCCTCGACCAGAGATCTGAATCCTCCCCTCCCACATGGCATCCCTCTGCTCTCTGCCGCGGCCATGCCATCCCACATGCTTGGCTCTTCTCGATATCACCAGCCCGACACGGAAACCAGCACCGCTTGGTCGAAGGTCTTGAAATCCTGCCTGACTTCCATGCGTCCTGGTCGAGGCATCGGGCCCTTGGCTGGAGATCTGGCGTCCTCCGTGGCCACATCCAGGATTCCACCACATGGCCCCTCGCCTTATTGCAGCGAACCCCCGCAGATATCGCCCGCCCCAACCTCGCCTCGGCTGGTGGCTGCTGCTGGCAACCTGCGGCCTTGCTGGGATCCCTGTCGGACTTCCACGATACGACGCTCTGGGGACCACCCAAACGGCCCGCGATGGCTGGCAAATTCGCCGAACCCGGCCAGGGGGGGGCAAACCCACTTGCCAGGCTGCGTGCTGCTCCTCAAGTCCGACCGCCCGTCCTGCCATGCTTTTTGCTTTAAAGCGTTCACGATGATTCGAAGTGTTGCATCCTCGGCGGGTCATCTTCTCACGCTTCTGTCCCCCGACCAAGGCGCTACCACGTCCATGGTACGACCTTCCTGGTCCTGACTCCTTGAGGCCCCCTCCTTCGGGCTCTGAGCGAGCCTCAATCGGGAGGCCACTTGCAACGGCTCCATCGCTCAGGCTAGCATATCGCCACCGCTCGGTGCTGCAGTCGTCGCAGGTTTTCATGGCATGCCAACTCGGCGTCCATGCATGACTTACAGGACCAAGAAATCCTTCCTCATGCCGAGTTTTTTGCTTCCTCCGACACCCCCGCGTCTTGGACGTCACGGGTAGGGTATTATCGGGTCGCACACCGCCGAGGAGATGTCTCCATCTTCCGTTGCAAGCAGTCTGCAATGCAGGCTTGGGAGCCTCGCGCAACTGCACCGGCCGCCTGCTTGCTTGCCTGCCCGAACGAAGCAGTTGCCATTTGCAACCCACCACGACTGTCAAGCCCGAGTGGGAGCGTCCAAGTCGTCCATGTGATGGTCGGCAAGCTCGTATCACGCACCTCGTCCACCCACACGATCGAAAAAGGGGGAGGGGGCATCACACCCTCTTCTCCCACAAACGAGAGACCCAAGAAAAGTCCCGCATGCCATTCGTCAATGGCACTTGGGTTCGCCAAGGGGCAGCACCGCCTTGGCCCCTTTTTAAATGTCACCAGCCTCTGCCGCCACACCATGACTTGAGCCTCACGACAGGCTTCAGGGCATCCCGAGAAGCGGTTGAAGTGATATTCAGGAACGTCAAGTTGGACGTTATGCGTCCTTGGACGTGAGAAGGATGCACACCGCCAGCCACCTAGCCCGGCGACAGTTCTCGGTGTGTAAGCTCCGGCGGCACGATACTCGGAGATTGCCATCCAGGTAGTCGTCCACCCCAGAGCAATAGTCTCAATGCTACCCATCCATCGCGGAGGTTGGGGTAAAGTATTTCTCCAGGCGCCTCCCTGCGGCGAACATCCATCACCTTCACATGCTGGGTGGAAGCTGCCCGATCGGATCAGATGCCCGTCTGCGATAGCATTCGCACGCGCCGGCGATGTCGATGATGACCTAGTCACAGATTTCCACCAGGACAGCATTCGCGATTTCCCCCCCTTTTTTTCTCAGCTGCCCTCGACAACACCAATTCCCATCAGACGAAGCCGATTCCCTGCTCTCAACACAGTCCGTCAGCCGCTAGAGAGGCACCGGCACCCGGCTCTCCCCCACCGGGCTCGAGGCGCAGACGCCGCGCCAGCAGCCGCTGGTCCGGCCGGGAACGGGTTTGGTTTCTCGCTCACGCGATGTTGAGTTTCAGCCATTCCCGCGTGGGACGCAAAGAGCTCTAGCAAGCGGGAGCTAACCGCCACGGAAGGACTTTCTGGCCGCAACGGGTGACACGCGGCCTTTTTTGCTCAAACTTCAGAAGTCTGACGGGCGCTGATGGACAGAGGCTGGTGAAGCTACTTGTACAGCTGGAGGGGTGCTCAGCAAGCTACTGCTGAATAGCTGCTGCTGTGTCTGCTAGTCGGCGGCAGTTTGAAGCTTGACGCTGACTCCAGGTGAGACAAACTTCATGAGGGCATCACGACACGACGGAGAAGCTCTCCAGAGCTGCCCCTCCCGCCACACACCGGCGAAGCCCCGATGATGCCACCAATCGTCACAGAACGAGGCATTTCTTCCAAACCAACGCGTGGCTCCTCCCACATCCCTCAACCCACGGCGCAAAAGCTAGCCCGGACCTCTGACCCGGCGGGCGAACTCTATCTCCCCTACGAAGCTGGTTCGTCCTAATGATCCACCCTCCCGCCCCGATTTCGATCGCCCAGCTGCTGGCCCGCCGACCAACTCGCCCCCTCGGGGAGTTTTCGTCCCTCGCCCTCCCGCGGGGCCAACATCTCAGCTTGAGCCGATTCTCCCTTCCTCTCGCCGGCCCCTGAGGCCCGGTCTCTGGTGATCGGCGGCCGGGACCCGCTGCCACGGCCGGAAGCGGCGGGGGCTCTCGACTCAGGGGCCGTGACGGCGGCGGGTCAGCGGTGGACACCCGGGTCCGCTTCGGGGTTTTCTGGGTGATTATCTGTCGTATGTCGCGAGTCGAGGGAGGAGACCGTCGGCAAGAGTCTGTGAGGCCAGCTGGGGAATTGTGGTCAGGTAGTTGGGCTGTAAAGTGAAGTCGCCCCTCAATTGGATTTCCGCCACCAATTGGCTGCCGATTGAATATTCGATGAAGCGAAAAGATAGCTCTCCCACAGAGCTATCGATCTGTATATACCAAATATGAATTTAATGTCTAGCCATTTGGTAAATTGCATCGGAAGTTGGCATGTCCATTTGAGGCCTGACCGCACTAAATGTCCCAAACATCTACCTAGTTTACTAGATGCCCCCGATCGCCAGGAATGACACCACACGATGATTTAACAGTCAAACTACGAACGAGAACAAGTCCTCGTACGCCCACCCATCTTTTCCTATCAGATATCATGACAACAGGAAGCCTTTATTCTTCGGCGACATTATTGTGACACCGCCACGTTAAGTTGTCAAAAGCCACACGAATGCTCCCTAGCCACCCCCAGAGAGCATCCTCTAACAAAGAACAACATCTTCAGCACAAACAACCAATAAAAAGGGATCATGCGATACCTCACATCCGGGGTATATAAAATCTCACTCCTCAACTTCAAAAAATCGTAACTCGCCCAAATTAAGAGATGAGCCTTCAGGGAAGCCACGAGCAGGTGCAAAAACACCTGGTGAGTGTGGGGTTTGAACCCACGACGTCTCGCGACAATGGTGAGAAGAGATATAGGCAAAACCAACTCTTAAGACCAACGCCATAACCACTCGGCCAACTCACCCAGTACAGCTTTTAAAGCGAATTCAAGGCGATCTTATAGACCTCCTGGCAATTCTCCAGCGTTTAGAATAGGTTTCGAGCCTTTAACTTAACTTTTAAGCCAAGAAATATTTTTTAAAGTTAGAAAGTAAAATTTTAGTATATAAATAGCTTTTTTATTTAAAAACTAAAGGTTATAATTTATAGCTAATAGTCTATAATATTACTTAAGCTTCTAATCCTTATTGTATAGTACTAGACTTTAAGTAATAAACTTTTAATATTTTTCTAGTAATTTTTTAACTTTTATTAAAAGTCCTATTAATTATAATTAATTACCTCTTCTATATAAAGACTCGATTTTACTCTAGGAATAATCTTCCAGCTTAGTATAGTATGAGCTATAGAATAACTTTCTGATAAGTATATCGGTAGGCTTTATATATAGTATTTAAGCTTATTACTATAGAGAACCTTAAGCCACCCAAAGTCTTCATGTCACAAAGATCACAGCACCAGAGACATCTGAGCCTCACGGCCAGACAACCAGCTAATTCTACCCTCCTACTCCTCACCGGACGATTCTGAATGCTGTTTAACAAGATGTATAAGCTCCCAGGCATATGCAGCTTGTCGTTGAGTCGCAGAACTGCCATGTCATGTCCTGTCAGCCCCTGAAGATCCTATCACGCTTCATCCCATTGAAACCGCCACTGACGCAACGCTGCACATCAACAGCCGCGCTGCACTCATCTCTTCCAGCTTCTCTAGGGTCAGATCATCGCCGTCACCGCGCGGCAAACATCCAAGATTTCCTCACGCGAGCGGGGAGTGCTGTTGGCGCTTGGAGGGGGGGGGGCGGGAGGCGGCCCTGTCGATCACCATTTCGGCACCATCGGATCCCCTCGGACGACCAGCTTCCACAACTAGTGGTTGAGATGCAATATGTCCAATCGTATTCTGTACAAGATCTGCTCATCTTCGAGCATGTGGAAATCTGGCTCGGGGTGGCCGCAGCCGGCGCGACGGATCTGCTGATCCCATCTGTTCTCGCGAAGCATTCGTCGACATCTGTCTACGATCGCCAAGAGCCAAACACCCATGGCGTTTCGACGACCCCTCTTCTTCGTGTACGAGGATCGTTCTCCAGGATCGTCCTGGTCTTTATTCGATGATTCGCTCGATCTCTTCGACCTCACAGCATCAAGGCCTTGTTCCGCTCCAGTATGGCATCAACCAGCTCCCGACCAGGGAAGTCAATGATGACAATGCCCGTCTTGCCATAATGTACGTCCGGAGCCTCTCCTTCCTCCCCATGCCTCTTCCGCAGGCTCCCGTCGACATACCGCGTCGCCCTCGCCTGCCGATCGAGCCACAGCCCCGTCCGGTCGTTCATCCCGACGACAGTGCCGTTGATCGGCCCCGCGGCCGCGACAATCGGCAGCACACCGACACTGGCGCTGAGATGCGACAGGTGCAGGACTTCGTTGGCATCGCCGGCGGCTGCGGCGCGGATGAGGGCCTTCTCGATGGCCTCCCACTTCATCGACAGAAGCTCGACGCTAGGGATGATCCATAGATCCTCGAGGTCCATGGACGGGCCGGCCCAGGCGACGCCGTAGGGTCCGTCCTCGGCGCGGAAGTTCTGCAGCAGGAAGACTTTGCCACGCAGGGCCCCCAAGGTGGGCAGTGGGTGGGAAGGGTCGTGTGGCCAGAAGTGACGCTTCGCGCGCTCCGCTGTGTCGCTCGAGTTCTGGAGGTACCAGTTGAATGCGCCCTCAAAGGTGAGAGAGTTATGGCCGTAGGGACGCGCCTCGTCTTTGAGCCGCATGACGATGGTCTCGCTGGGGTTCTCCTCGAGGAAGTCGAAGACGTCGAGGAGGACGTCACCATAGCTGTAGCCCGTGAAGGCGGAGGCGTGGTAGATCTGGATCGTGTCGTTGACCAGACGGCCGCGGATGTCGAGGTACCGCATGCCGGCACGCATCTGCGTGCGCAGGTCGTGGTTCTGGCATTGGAAGCCCGAGTCTTTGATGTCGTACGTGAGGGTATCGTGGGTACCGGGTATTGACAGACTGGTGAGATTGGTCTCATCAGGGATATGCCTCATCCAAGCCACGTGGTCGGCCTGGTCGACGTCAAACGAGTACCGTGAATCGTAGCCGTGGTAGCAGGTGCCTGAGAGGAGGCATGGTGAGAGGCCGAGCAGGAGGGAGAAGAGCATCCACACAAGCAGGAAGGCCGAGATGACGAAGCTGCCCTGCTTCAGGGCATGGCCGTTCATCTTCATCTTCAACGCCGCCATGTCTCAGAGCTGATGACTATCGATCCTGGATCGCCGTTCTGATGGATGATGCGGCGGCCGAAGGTTCCGGCTGATGCCGTCACGGGGCAATGCCGATGCGGATGGTGAAGCCGAAGCCGAAGCCGGCCGACCGTGACACCGACCGAAGCAGATGAGCCGGGGAGCGTTAGGAAGTGCAGCAACCAGGCCGAGATTCCATTGGAAGGACTGAAACAATGCTTCAAGGGTCAGATGAAGCCAGAGAATCCGAGTAAAGGTGTTACTATTGAGAGATGCTTGGGAAGAGTCGTCAGATGAACCCGCACTTCGATCGCCGTTGCCTGGTTACGCAGTTTGATTACATAAGGCTGTCACGACACTTGACAACGTCACTTGACCTGAACTGACTTTCCGTCGACCAGCATCTCCATGTCCACCCCTCAATTCCCTTTTTGCTATCGACGCCATAAGTATCTACAATCCTCCATATCCAGCGAAATGTCTTGAGCAGAGAGAAGGGTGCCTTAGTCATCTTCTCGTCCGCCGAGATCGCACTCCGCAACTCCCTCTATTGCCAACCTTGCGGTCGCGACAGACCACCGCTGGCTCCAGGTCAAGTGTGGCACGACGTGATTAGCCAGTCCTCGAACCTCGCGTACAAGAGCTCGTGGCCAAAGCAGTATCACGGCGCCGTCTGCAGCTTCCCTTAGAACCGGAACCCAGTCGACGAAGACGGCCTACCCACTGCAAGTGTTGTGGTCAACCTCTCAAGCCGTCAGGACCGTTGGGGTATCCTTCAGGCGCGGTGATTCAGCCCTACTCAACCTGTTAGAGGGGGTTGTTTGCCCGAAGAAGACATTGGTGATGTCGTGGCCAGACTTCTGCTTGGCCGGGGCATCAGCACCGACAGGCCCGAAGAGGACCGGGTGAGGATGTCTCGACATTGGGACTGGCCGGTGTCTGTTGGTGCTTGCAGCTTGCCAACGCCACTCGCGCTTCCTTACTTACTTACCCTTCTCCAGAACGGCCCATCTCGACCATGAACCGCGCCATGTTCGGTTGGCAATGCCCCGGCCAGACAGGACGATGCTCGTCACTGAGTCGCGGAGCTGAAGGACCCGACGTGCCAGAACCCCGAGGGTGGGGGGTCCAAACGACGCCACCTGCTCTGCAGGGCCCCGGACCGGACCACGGCGTTGGGGCGGTTAAAAGACCGGGTAAAGTGAGTCCCGACGATGAGGCTCGCTCCGGGGGAACGTGGAGGCATGGGGTGAGCAAATGCGAATCCGGGGGACTGGGGACTACTGGGGACTGACTTGCGGTACAGACGAAAAGTATACGGACACCGTCGAGCTACTGGCAGAGGAGATGGCCCATTGATAGGTCCGTCTGCAAGGACCTCCTGGATGATCTTTCCCTGGTCCAATCAGGTAATTTACGGGAACTTTACGAGTCGCTCGCATGTCTCCAACGACCTTGGCGCATCCATGTTTCGTTCCTTAGGCTCCCCGATGCCCCGATCTCTCGTGTCAATGATCACCGAGGGAAGAGTGCTTACTAAATGGTATGCTGAAGACGGCTGGGTTTCGACGGCGGGATTGATTGAAAGGCATGTTCGTGTCAGCCGTGGAGCTACGACCATTGAACAATCCACGGAGACTTTGCAGCGGAAATCTTGCCATCTCTTCTCTTCTTCGCCTCTTCAGCACAATTCGTCATCCTTGCCATGGAAATCACAGAATTCGGGTCCAAATGGATCTGGCATCCGGACTGGGTCGATAGCGGCGAGGGAGCCGGTCAATTGCTTCACTTCCGCAAGCATCTCGACCTTGAGGACGTCCCCCAGGCGCCTGTGCTTATCAATGTCACCGCCGACACTCGCTACAAGCTCTACGTGAATTCGGCATTCGTTCAGTTCGGTCCCGTCAAGGGCGACGAAGACCGATGGTTCTATGACACGGTCAATATCCAGCCCTACCTCCGTCGCGGCCGAAACACCATCGCCGTACACGTTCTGCGGTTCTATCATGCAACCATGTATGCCACGTCTTTTGCTCGCTTGCCCATCGGCGGCCTCTACATCCGCCAGATCGCCGACACCGCCTTGGACGAGGTCCCCAGTTTGGGGATTGACACGGACGCGGCGTGGGAGACGGCCCTTGATCCCTCCGTCGTCCTACGAACGGACGAACCATACGACATTTTCCTACACATCTTTGAGTCAGTGGACAGGAGTAAAGACGCCATCCTGTCGTGGGAGCAGGCGGCAGTCGTAGTCATGCACCCAGACGGTTATGGCGTGCTAGCACCCTGGAACCTCTGCCCCCGACAGATCCCTTTCCAGACCATGGACCCCGTCTCCTTCGAAACTGTCCACAACGTCCGCAGCGACATTGGAGATGATGTCTGGGCACGATTGATGACTAGGCCGGCGACGAGAGCGGGCGGCGTCGTCCTCCCCGCGGGGTCGGTACACCACGTCGAGCTCGAGGCACCAGAATACCTCACCGCACTCCTCAGTCTGCACTTCAGGGCCGGCTCGGGTCAGGGAAGCACCGTCACGCTTACCTACTCCGAGTGCTACGAGGATGAGCCGTTCTCCCCGCCGTTCGGCCGCAGCAAGGGCGACCGCCGCGACACAACCAAGAAGATCATTGGCCCGTCTGACCGATACATCGTCGGCGGACCGCAGGCAGCGACCAGAGAGCTCGGATATGGCGAGAGATCCAGCGAGGCCG